CCCCAAAACCCCAAAACCCCAAAACCCCAAAACCCCAAAACCCCTTTTCTGTAAATTTGGTTGATTTTATAATATTTTGTAAAAAATGGAATTACCATACATTGATAATTTAGAGTTAGGAGGATTCAATTTTGATAACACTTTGAGGAATGAAGCCATTAAGAAACAGACTGGTAAAGAACCAATCGCTACAAGCACAGGAACTACTATTGTAGGTATTGCTTATAAGGATGGAGTTGTCATGGCTGCAGATACAAGAGCCACAGCTGGACCTACTGTTGGTGATAAGAATTGTTTTAAGCTCCATTACCTAGCTCCTAACATTTGGTGTGCTGGCTGTGGTACAGCTGCTGATTGCGACCACGTTACGGAAATGATCAAGAGAGACCTTGAACTCCACAGGCTGAACACTGGAAGCCAGAATAGGATTGCTACTGCTGTGACTAAGTTCTCTAGTCATTTATTTAATTATATGGGACATATTGGTGCAGGAATTATTTTGGGAGGAATCGATGTGAAAGGACCACAGGTCTGGAGTATCGATCCTCACGGTCATACAATCGCTATGCCATACCATACACAAGGATCAGGATCCCTTGCTGCTATGGGAATTATTGAAAACGAGTATAGAGAAGAAGATGGAGAGCTTGTCATGACTGAGGAAGAAGCTATTGATCTAGCAACTAGAGCTATAGAGGCTGGTATTTATAACGATCTCGGTTCAGGATCCAATGTTGATTATGTTGTTATTAATAAAGAAGGACACAAAATTAAGAGATCTCATAAAAGTGATAATAAGAAGTTGTTCGAGCACCCTGTTGGATATAACTTTCCTAAAGGTACAACTGAAGTCTTGGAAAGCTCTGTCATCTCTCTTGATATTCAAGATGGACAAGCACCAATGGAGTTATAATTTGGTAATGATTTCACAAATCAATGAGGCTTTGAGGGAAGAAAATCTATTCAATATTTTAATAATTAAAAGGGGTTTTGGGGTTTTGGGGTTTTGGGGTTTTGGGG